GCTTTATGGTACACAGAATCTCTTAATCTGTGAAGATGGAGACACGAGTACTAGTAATGTTCTGCAAAGTTGATAAAAGAAAATCTTTATATCATCTTTTATATCAGCTGGATTGAATGTCAGAGGACAGAGAGATAAAAGTCATTGGTCTTCATATGACAGGGCAGCACAGTGGCTAAATGGTTAACACTTTCACCTGGCAGTACTAGGGTTGTTGGTTAAAATCCCAACCATGGCATTACCTGCCTGGAGTTTGCATGCTCTCCCTGTGCTTGAATGGGTTTCCTCCGGGTACTCCGGTTTCCTCCCACACACTCCAAAGACATGATGGTAGGTGAATTGGATACTGTCTAAATTGGCCCTAGTATGTATAAATGTGAGTTAGGGACTTTAGATTGTACACCCCTTGAGGGTTAGGGACTGATGTGAATGTACAATATATTTGTACAGCGCTGCGTAAATTGACAGTGCTATATAAGTACCTGAAATAAATAAATAAATATGACAACATGATGCAAACGCCAGGGAGCTACTAATGTCTCTAATAACCAATCAGATTTAGGTTCTTTGAGAAGAGGGGCAAAATATAACACTGGGTAACATGGCAGGTGGCACATTTCTGATGGACAGGTAGATGTCTGCCCTCCATCTGCTGCCTGAGATTTATCTGTACATCTATGGATATCTGTCTCTGATAGCAGAGGTGACTAGACCTGCCATGACCCATCACTGGAGGTGACAGTATATGTGTGTTCTTGGTAGCTCAAATCTCACTGGTGGAGGAGCAATGACCCAAAAATTGCAAAGGATGCTTGGAATTTTATTTTTATTTATTACAGGAACTTATCTAGCGCCCACAACTTACGCAGCGCATTACATATTTAGATTGAAATGACCCATATAGAAGAAAAATATATTTGAAATATATTTTTAAAAATATTCTTCCCAAATATAATGACATATATTTGAAATGCTACAATTTTGGCCATATTTAATATATTTCAAAATATATTTCAATAAATATATATATATATACTGTTTGTTGAAATCCATTTTTATTACAAAATATATGAAAAATATGTTTAAAAATACATTTCAAATATACTGTATGTCTTTAAAAATACAAATCTACATTTTTGGAATGCATTTACAAATATATGTAAAAATATATGTTAAAATTACTTTTTTATAAGTTAAAAAAAAAAAAATCTGAAGAATATATTTTAAAAAACCTGAAAGTGTATTCAGTAGCTATAGATTTCCTTTAATTATATAGGGCCCATTCTTCCCTATGTATTTTAAAGCATGTCAGGGCAAGAACGCAGGGTACCCATTGTTATAAACATTGCTACTTTAATGTATTCCATTTCGTGAAGCACCATTATTTAAAAAAGTCCTGGATTCTTTCTTGGATACACAGAATATAACTGGATATAACATTTATAGGTAAAGCTGATCCAGGGAATATCTGATTGCCTCTCAGGGGATCAGGAAGGAATTTTTTTTCCCAGCAGGAGCAAATTGGATCATGCTTTGCAGGGTCTTTTTTGCCTTCCTCTGGATCAACTGTGGGTGTAGGATTATAACTTTTTTTTTTTTTTTATGGTTAAACTGAATGGACTTTTGTCTTTTTTCAGCCAGAATAACTATGTAACTATTATGCATTATAGACACAAGCAGCATTGCTTTCACCAAGATCCCATATAGAGACTGAGATCGCCAGCGCCTGGGCTGATGGTGTCTCCACTAACACTGTAGAATACAGTGTCATCCAATTGCTGTAATATTTTATGGCCATAAGGTAGGTACAGCACGAGTATGCTTAAGTGTTTCAGCCGTGAGGCATTTTACGCATACGTGTACTCTGTTCTGTACTTGCATTATAACCAATAAATATTACCGTAACTGGATGACACCAATCAGTTGCCAGCTCTATTTTAATTTGGATTATGCGTTATAGGGCCTGTCATGTTTCACATGACTGTCATATGCCATTAAGTGTTTTCTATATCTTGACTCTGCTCCTCCCTTTCCTTTGATTTAGTTAATGTTGCATAGATAGCCCTCCCCCTTTCCCAGAGATGCATTGCAGCTCTAGCCTCATGTCATGGAGTAGGAAACATTATGATCTTTTGACCTATCGAATGCTCATTGTTGTAAGATTCTCTCAGTTTATGGAATAAACTTCACAAGATCTACAAGATGTCTTATCGATTGAGTCACTGACTGTGGTATCCAACTGAGGTTGAAGTTATTGCTATCTCATCACAACTGTAAGTTACAGAGATCACACTATCAATGCTTAGATTGGAGAGAACAGGGCCTTTTGATGACAATGAAAGCATGATTGTTAAAAGAAGAGAGTGGGATCCAAAAAAGCAAACATTTATACTTACCTAGATGGCTGCAGCATAGATCTGAGCTGAAGCTACGGCTGCTGGCTCTACACTGAGAACTGAGCTGGCTCTACACCGGCTCTTAGTCTGCCCTAAGCAAAGAATGATAATTGTCAGTCGCCAGCTCTCTGCTCTGCTCCTCCAATGCTCACTGGAGAGCTAGGCTGGGGTGGGAGCAGCTGGCTCAGGCTCTCAGCAGTGCACCGTGAGGCTGAGCCAGCTTCCAGTCAGGCATCTGGGTGGATTCTGACAATATTTTTGGGATCCCTGCAGAGCTTGGACCTGCTCGGTGAGGTCTGCTATCAGGGGACTGTAGCCTGCTGTCGGCTAAATACAGGTCACGGGATTGCTGAACTAACTACACTCCTGTGACCCCCAGGAGACGTAGCGCCAAAAGAACTTTGGTCCTACTTCTTTAAAAAGAAAAAAAATTAAGAAGTGTGAAAATGTGCATGGAAAGGTGTGAGCCTTAGTGCTCACCAAAAACATACATTTCCTTTTATCACCAGTTGACTGATGCTCACATCCTCTGGCCTTCATCCAATGCAGATTCATTTTTGGAGAACTTGTCTTTCAAACATTTACCCTCCAGGTTCAACCAAAGTTGACAATGACTTGCAGGAAGATATCTTGTTCTTGTCACTTCCTATTGCAAGTTTTGTGATACCTGGATCAGGGGGCACACAAGGTCCTCTGGCACCCAAAGTCGAAGTGCCCCTCCCCCCCAAGCTCTTTAAAAGGCATTATATAACACAATTTGAAAGTATTTTTATATACAAACAGTAAAGAAAAAATAGGAAGCAGATTGTGGAGTTGGAAAATAAAAATTATTAAAGCTAAAATTTAGTTGAAAAATAATTTTGCTTCTACAGCTGGGGTTTTGGATATGGATACGCTTCAAAATGATATTAAACATTAGTATTATTATTTTTTTTTTATAAAATAATTAACAGGTTATACTCAACTGCTCTGCAATAGTTTTGTACAGAGCAGCCCTGATCCTCTTCTGGGGTCCCCCGCCAATGCTCCTGGTTCCTCCTCTTCTGTTGCATAGTCTGGTTGAAATAAGACAAACGTCCATCCAGTTCAACCATTATAAAAAAAAAGTTGTAATCCTACACCCACAGTTGATCCAGAGAAAGGCAAAAAAACCCAGCAAAGCATGATCCAATTTGCTCCTGCAGGGAAAAAAATACCTTCCTGACCCCCCAAGAGGCGATCGGATATTCCCTGGATCAACTAGGGTGCCCCCAGAGGAAGCCGCTTCCCATGGAGCCACTTGTGCATGCTCGCTCCTGAGCCTGTTGACACAGACAAGGCAGCTCAGCCCTGCTGCCGTTCTCTCTTCACAGAGCTTTATTGACAGCAGTAGGGGCCAAGGGCTCTCGCTGCGGTCAATCTGCCCTATGAGGAAGGACAGAGCCAGGAGAGCCTCTGCTCTCATGTGCAGCGCTAGATCGAGATCAGGCTCAGGTAAGTATTAGGGGGGTTGGAGGGGCTCTGTGACACAGATTTTTTTTTTAACCTTAAAAAAGCCTTTAGGCTTTAGAGCCACTTTAAGTTGGTTTCTTTTGGCCTTAAATGGCTCCTCCTTCTTAGAGAAGCTTTTACCAATCCTGAACACGCTCTTGTACCTAAAAATGGCCCTTTATTAGCCCAATTATTTAATTTTTTTCTTGGAAAGTACAAAAAAAAAAACAACAATGAAAAAATAACAATCAAAAAATTAAATATGGAAATAAAAGACACTATTATAAATAAGAGCTCAGATATGAAACAGGTTTTCTACTTAAAGTAGAACTCCGGGCAAAAACTAATTTACATATCCTTGTTGCTGATTTCCTATCTTCCCTAAATATTTCGTCCATCTTCTGGTTCACTCAGTAGTTGCTCTGAAATAGCCTATTCATTTTCAAATCAAACCATTAATTCTCTTTGGTTTCCTGTGGTTGCTATGCCTCATATTCCCCAAGCCACTGGTCTTGGCACATCCCTTCTGTAGTTCTTTCTCCATGAAGCAGTGATGTCATTCAGCCCCATTTGCAGTGATGGGTGAACCAAGACTCTCAAACACATTCAACATGTACAGGCCTAGTGTACCCGCCCACATTCAATGCAATTCCCTGTGGTTGATGGGAACTGTAGTTTCCTTTTACTGCAGAGAGAGAGAGTAGAGGACATGATGTAATCCCGGCTGTTACGCCTCTTCCTTGGCAGAGCAGATGTTGTTCTCTTTTGAATTACAGAGATGAGGTCATGAAAATTCAATTAGACATTTTAGCTAAATGGTAAGGATTTAAAAAATGTTGTTAACTATGTAGTGTTTTGTGTAGGGGGTGTAGTAATGGGTGATTTTTGCCTAACCTACTGTTCTTATTTAATGTTTTTTTGCCCCATATTTCCCATTCTAAAGATCTTCCATGCTGGTCATAGACACATCATGCTGAATTTTTACAACCTTTACATTTTCAGGAAAAAAAAAATCATTAGAATGCCGTTCACATTGGGCATGTTGATAAGTAGGCTATGACCACATATTTTATGTGTTCTAAACTTCTGTTTTTGGTGTGTTTGTGTTTTATCAGCAGAAGTGAAGAATTCAGGATGTGCGGGATTTGGGCTCTGTTTGGCAGCGATGAGTGTCTGTCTGTGCAGTGTCTTAGTGCCATGAAAATTGCGCACAGGGGACCAGATGCTTTTCGTTTTGAAAATGTAAACGGTTTCACCAACTGCTGTTTTGGCTTCCACCGACTGGCTATCGTAGATCAACTGTACGGCATGCAGCCTCTCCGCGTGAAGAAATTCCCTTATCTGTGGCTCTGTTACAATGGGGAAATATACAACTACAAACAGGTATTGCTTTTGTGTGGATGGTAACAAACTGAGGCTTAAATGACCTAATACCAACTACAGTAGATGAGTCCACCCAAAACTGACATTTTAGCTTGATATGAGCATGGTGGGTTAAATTTACCCATGTACCTTCAACCCCAGAGTGCTGTCTATCTATATACAGTATATACAGTGGGGATCGAAAGTTTGGGCACCCCAGCTAAAAATTTGTATTAATGTGCATAAAGAAGCCAAGGAAAGATGGAAAAATCTCCAAAAGGCATCAAGTTACAGATTAGACATTCTTATAATATGTCAACAAAAGTTAGATTTTATTTCCATCATTTACACTTTTAAAATAACAGAAAACAAAAAAATGGCGTCTGCAAAAGTTTGGGCACCCTGCAGAATTTATAGCATGCACTGCCCCCTTTGCCAAGCTGAGACCTGCCAGTGTCATGGATTGTTCTCAATCATCATCTGGGAAGACCAGATGATGTCAATCTCAAAGGTTTTAAATGCCCAGACTCATCTGACCTTGCCCCAACAATCAGCACCATGGGTTCTTCTAAGCAGTTGTCTAGAAAACTGAAACTGAAAATAGTTGACGCTCACAAAGCTGGAGAAGGCTATAAGAAGATAGCAAAGCGTTTTCAGATGTCAATATCCTCTGTTCGGAATGTAATTAAGAAATGGCAGTCATCAGGAACAGTGGAAGTTAAAGCAAGATCTGGAAGACCAAGAAAAATATCAGACAGAACAGCTCGCAGGATTGTGAGAAAAACAATTCAAAACCCACGTTTGACTGCACGATCCCTCCAGAAAGATCTGGCAGACACTGGAGTTGTGGTACACTATTCCACTATAAAGAGATACTTGTACAAATATGGTCTTCATGGAAGAGTCATCAGAATAAAACCTCTTCTACGTCCTCACCACAAAAATCATCGTTTGAACTTTGCAAATGAACATATAGACAAGCCTGATACATTTTGGAAACAAGTTCTGTGGACCGATGAGGTTAAAATTGAACTTTTTGGCCGGAATGAGCAACGGTACGTTTGGAGAAGAAGGGGCACAGAATTTAATGAAAAGAACCTCTGTCCAACTGTTAAGCATGGGGTTGGATCAATCATGCTTTGGGGTTGTGTTGCAGCCAGTGGCACAGGGAACATCTCACGAGTAGAAGGAAAAATGGATTCAATAAAATTTCAGCAAATTTTGGATGGTAACTTGATGCCATCTGTGAAAAAGCTGAAGTTAAAGAGAATGGCTTCTACAAATGGATAATGATCCTAAACACACCTCGAAATCCACGGGGGATTACATCAAGAGGCGTAAACTGAAGGTTTTGCCATGGCCTTCACAATCTCCTGACCTCAACATAATTGAAAATCTATGGATAGACCTTAAAAGAGCAGTGCGTGACAGACAGCCCAGAAATCTCAAAGAACTGGAAGACTTTTGTAAGGAAGAATGGGCAAAGATACCTCAAACAAGAATTGAAAGACTCTTGGCTGGCTACAAAAAGCGTTTACAAGCTGTGATACTTGCCAAAGGGGGCAGTACAAGATATTAACTCTGCAGGGTGCCCAAACTTTTGCAGACGCCATTTTTTTGTTTTCTGTTATTTTGAAAGTGTAAATGATGGAAATAAAATCTAACTTTTGTTGACATATTATAAGAATGTCTAATCTGTAATTTGATGCCTTTTGGAGATTTTTCCATCTTTCCTTGGCTTCTTTATGCACATTAATACAAATTTTTATCTGGGGTGCCCAAACTTTCGATCCCCACTGTAGCTACACTATATTGCCAATAGTATTGGTCGGCCTGCCTTTACATGCACATGAACTTTAATGGCCTCCCAGTCTTGGTCCGTAGGGTTCAATATTGAGTTGGCCCCGCCCTTTGCAGCTATACCAGCTTCAACTCTTCTGGGAAGGCCGTCCACAAGGTTTAGGAGGGTGTCTATGGGAAGGTTGGACCATTCTTCCAGAAGCACATTTGTGAGGTCAGGCACTGATGTCGGACGAAAAGGCCTGGCTCACAGTCTCTGCTCTAATTCATTCCAAAGATGATCTATCGGGTTGAGGTCAGGACTCTGTGCAGACCAATCGAGTTTCTCCATCTCCACCCACTCATCCATGTCTTTATGGACCTTGCTTTGTGCACTGGTGTGCAGTCATGTTGGAACAGGAATGGGCCATCTCCAAACTGTTCCCACAAAGTTGGGAGCATGAAATTGTCCAAAATGTCTTAGTATGCTGACACCTTAAGAGTTCCCTTCACTGGAACTAAGGGGCCAAGCCCAACCCCTGAAAAGCAACCCCACACCATAATCCCCCCTCTACCAAACTTTACACTTGGCACAATGCAGTCAGGCAAGTACCATTCTGGCAACTGCCAAACCCAGACACATCCACCAGATTGCCAGACAGAGAAGTGTGATTCATTACTCCAGAGAACACGTCTCCACTGCTCTACAGTCCAGTGGTGGCTCGCTTTACACCACTGCACCCAACGCTTTGCATTGCACTTGGTGATGTAAGCTTTGGATGCAGCATGTGCTGACCCCACTCTGTCAGTTTTCGTGGCTTGGTTGCTGTTGTTCTCATTTGCTTCCACTTTGTTATACAATCACTAACAGTTGACAATGATATATACTGCTCAAAAAAATTAAAGGAACACTTTGAAAAAACATCAGATCTCAAAGGGGAAAAATATCATGCAGGATATCTATACTGATATGGACGGGGTAATATAGTAGGAACGTAAGGATGACCAATCGTTTGGTGGAAATGAAAATTATCAACCTACAGAGGACTGAATTCAAAGACACCCCGAAAACCAAAGTGAAAAAATGAGGCAGCAGGCTAGTCCATTTTGCTGGAATTTCATTTGCAGCAACTCAAAATGGTCCTCAGTAGTTTGTGTGGCCCCCACGTGCTTGTATGCATGCCTGACAATGTCGAGGGAGGCTCCTAATGAGACGACGGATGGTGTCCTGGGGTAGTTCCTCCCAGATCTGGACCAGGGCATCACTGAGCTCCTGGACAGTCTGAGGTGTAACCTGGCAGCATCGGATGGACTGAAACATGAAATCCTAGAGGTGTTCTATTGTATTTAGGTCAGGCGAGCGTGGGGGCCATGCAATGGTATCAATTCCTTCATCCTCCAGAAACTGCCTGCATACTCTCCCCACATGAGGCTGGGCATTTTTGTGCACCAGGAGGAACCCAGGACCCACTGCACCAGCGTAGGGTCTGACAATGGGTCCAAGGATTTCATCCCGATACCTAATGGCAGTCAGGGTGCCATTGTCTAGCCTGTAGAGGTCTGTGCGTCCCTCCATGGATATGCCTCCCCAGACCATCACTGACCCACCACCAAAACGGTCATGTTGAACGATGTTACAGGCAGCATAACGTTCTCCACGGCTTCTCCAGACCCTTTCACGTCTGTCACATGTGTTCAGGGTGAACCTGCTCTCATCTGTGAAAAGCACAGGGTGCCAGTGGCGGGCCTGCCAATTCTGGTGTTCAATGGCAAATGCCAATCGAGCTCTATGGTGCCGGGCAGTGAGCACAGGGCCCACTAGAAGCTGTCAGGCCCTCAGGCCACCCTCATGAAGTCTGTTTCTGATTGTTTGGTTAGAGACATTCACACCAGTGGCCTGCTGGAGGTCATTTTGTAGGGCTCTGGCAGTGCTCATCCTGTTCCTCCTTGCACAAAGGTGCAGATACTGGTCCTGCTGATGGGTTAAGGACCTTCTACAGCCTTGTTCAGCTCTCCTAGAGTAACTGCCTGTCTCCTGGAATCTCCTCCATGCTCTTGAGACTGTGCTGGGAAACACAGCAAACCTTCAGGCAATGGCACGTATTGATGTGCCATCCTGGAGGAGTTGGACTGCCAGTGCAACCTCTGTAGGGTCCAGGTATCGCCTCATGCTACCAGTAGTGACACTGACCCTAGCCAAATGCAAAACTAGTGAAAAACAGTCAGAAAAAATGAGTAGGGAAAAAAATGTCAGTGGCCTCCACCTGTAAAACCATTCCTGTTTTGGGGATCATCTCATTGTTGCCCATCAAGTGCACCTGTTGTTAATTTTATTAATACCAAAGCAGCTGAAACTGATTAACAACCCCCTTTTCTACTTCACTGACCATGTCAATAGCCCAGGAGTTTAACTGACTTGATGCTATACTCTGATTTAAAAGCATTCCTTTAATTTTTGTGAGCATCGTATTTAATAGCAAGGAAATTTAATGGATGGACTTATTGCACAGGTGGCAACCTATCACGGGACCACGCTTGAATTCACTGAGCTCCTGAGAGCGATCCATTCTTACATAATTGTTTGTAGAAGCCGTCTGCATGCCTAGGGGCTTGATTTTATACAGCTGTGACCATAGAGGTGATTGGAACATCTGAATCCAATGATTTGGAATGGTGTCCCAATACATTTGGCAACATGGTGTATCTATCTTATGGCTAGTAGTAGTCACATTCAATGATTTACTGACTTCTATTGTTTCAGTAAGTGGCGGGAACATACCCCATGTCACATACCTGGTTGGAAGTCGAAGTGATGAGAGGGCTTCCCTTGTGGCTAAATGCCAAGCACCCCTGAGGATGGTGACAGGAGATGTTGGGCTCAAAGAAGCATGGGTTGCCAACTGTGGTTTGCTGGACAAGTTAGCTGTTACATGGAACCTTTTATAGACGGGACAGAATGGGGCAGGACAGAACTGACATAGTCTGGAACTGAGCCAGGGTCATACACAGCAGATCAGGCAGGAGGGTAAGCATAAGCGTGGTCAGGAGCAAGCCGGGGTCATGCACAGGAAGTCAGCAAAGGCAGAGTTGGAAGTAAGTCAAGGCCAAAGCCAGAAGAAGAGCAGAAGTCAGGTCCAGAGGCAAGTCAGGTCGGTAACGGGAGACCCAAGGATACAGAATACATGGGGTACAGGGAGCTGAAGATCAATCAGCAACCTCTGAGCATATCTTCCATCCTTATAAAGGCCATTTGGCACCATCTCTTACTGTGGGTGTGAGTGCCATGCACCAGTGCGCACAAGCGAGCCCCAGTGCTATTTCAATGCGTACAGTGGGGCAAAAAAGTATTTAGTCAGCCACCAATTGTGCAAGTTCTCCCACTTAAAAAGATGAGAGAGGCCTGTAATTGGCATCATAGGTAGACCTCAACTATGAGAGACAAAATGAGAAACAAAATCCAGACAATCACATTGGCTGATTTGGAAAGAATTTATTTGCAAATGATGGTGGAAAATAAGTATTTGGTCACCTACAAACAAGCAAGATTTCTGGCTCTCACAGACCTGTACCTTCTTCTTTAAGAGGCTCCTCTGTCCTGCACTCATTACCTGTATCAATGGCACCTGTTTGAACTTGTTATAAGTATAAAAGACACCTGTCCACAACCTCAAACAGTCACACTCCAAACTCCACTATGGTGAAGACCAAAGAGCTGTCGAAGGACACCAGACACAAAATTGTAGACCTGCACCAGGCTGGGAAGACTGAATCTGCAATAGGCAAGCAGCTTGGTGTGTGAACAAATCAACTGTGGGAGCAATAATTAGAAAATGGAAGACAGACAAGACCACTGATAATCTCCCTCGATCTGGGGCTCCACGCAAGATCTCACCCCGTGGGGTCAAAATGATCACAAGAACGGTGAGCAAAAATCCCAGGACCACATGGGGGGACCTAGTGAATGACCTGCAGAGAGCTGGGACCAATGTAACAAAGGCTACTATCAGTAATACACTACGCCGCCAGGGACTCAGATCCTGCAGTGCCAGACGTGTCCCCCTGCTTAAGCCAGTACATGTCCGGGCCTGTCTGAAGTTTGCTAGAGAGCATTTGGATGATCCAGAAGAGGATTGGGAGAATGTCATATGGTCAGATGAAACCAAAATAGAACTGTTTGGTAGAAACACAACTCGTCGTGTTTGGAGGAGAGAGAATGCTGAGTTGCATCCAAAGAACACCATACCTACTGTGAAGCATGGGGGTGGCAACATCATGCTTTGAGGCTGTTTCTCCGCAAAGGGACCAGGACGACTGATCCATGTACAGGACAGAATGAATGGGGCTATGTATTGTGAGATTTTGAGTGCAAACCTCCTTCCATCAGCAAGGGCATTGAAGATGAAACATGGCTGGGTCTTCCAACATGACAATGATCCCAAACATACCGCCCGGGCAACGAAGGAGTGGCTTCGTAAGAAGCATTTCAAGGTCTTGGAGTGGCCTAGCCAGTCTCCAGATCTCAAACCCATAGAAAACCTTTGGAGGGAGTTGAAAGTCCGTATTGCCCAGCGACAGCCCCAAAACATCACTGCTCTAGAGGAGATCTGCATGGAGGATGGGCCAACATACCAGCAACAGTGTGTGCCAACCTTGTGAAGACTTACAGGAAACGTTTGACCTCTGTCATTGCCAACAAAGGATATATAACAAAGTATTGACATGAACTTTTGATATTGACCAAATACTTATTTTCCACCATAATTTGCAAATAAATTCTTTCCAAATCAGCCAATGTGATTGTCTGGATTTATTTTCTCATTTTGTCTCTCATAGTTGAGGTCTACCTATGATGCCAATTACAGGCCTCTCTCATCTTTTTAAGTGGGAGAACTTGCACAATTGGTGGCTGACTAAATACTATATTGCCCCACTGTATGTACGCATCCCTATGCAAACGAGCACGGCCAAGTATTGGCAAGTGTATTAGATCCTTGCTTAGTCAACATTTTTTTTAACACCCTTATAAGAATTCTCAGATAAATCCACAAATAAAAAATGAAGTAGACATTACTACAGTCAATGCTACTACTACTTCTGCAGTATTGTAGTATCAATGTTGGAGAATGCACTCTAAAATACTTTTATACTAATCTCTCTTGTTCCTACAGCTGGAAAAACATTTTGGATTCGAGTATCAGACCCTGGTGGACGGAGAGGTAATTCTCCATCTTTACAATAACCAAGGAATCGAACAAACTGCTGCCTTATTGGATGGAGTCTTTGCGTTTATCCTGCTGGATACAGCCAATAGGAAGGTCTATCTGGGTCGGGACTCCTATGGTATTAGACCGCTCTTCAAACTTCTCACCGATGATGGCTTTCTGGGAGTTTGCTCTGAGGCTAAAGGTAATCCTAATAATATGTTGAGATCTTAAGCCAGAAAGAAGTTTTTTTTGTAATATATACAATGTTTTGTATAAAGGGGTTGATTTATTAAAACGGGAGGGTGCATAATCTGGTGCAGCTGTGCATAGAAATCAATCCGCTTACATGTTTTTTTGTAGTCAAAACTAAATTGAACAAGCTGAAGTTAGAAGCTGATTGGCTACCATGCACAGCTGCACCAGATTTTGCACTCCCCAGTTTTAGTAAATCAACCCCAAAGCGGGGAGCAGGGGCGGACTGACCATTTGAGCACCCGGGCACTGCTCGAGGGCTCGGGGTCAGTAGGGGGCCCAATGAGATGCCCCTGGTACTTTTCATAGGCTTTTTTGGGTGTGGTTTGAGTGTGAGCAAGGACACAGGGGCCCCATGATCTCTTTTTGCCCGGGGGCCCCATGAGTTGTCAGTCTGCCCCTGGAGGGGAGTTATTATTGTTAAATATTTATTTATTTGTGACTCCACTGGGGAGATTTACTCTCACTTCCTGATCCTATGACCCAAAAAATAGGAGTGCTAAGGGTTTTTCGTGGGGGACGGGAGACATAGGCATGGACTTATTCAAATGTGTGTGCAATCTGTGCTTTACCTAATTGGCACTTGATCTCACTGTGGTTTTTATTTTAGGAAAAAAATATTTGTAAATATGAAGTTTTCATATTTACAAATTATGCAGTGTTGTTTTTTTTCCAAAATTTGTAGATATAACACATTTTCTCTGTCCTAGGTCTTATTAACTTGAAGCATTCTATGACCTCATGCCCAAAAGTAGACCCATTCCCTCCTGGTCACTGCGAAGTCTTTGATTTAAAAGCCAGCGGGAAGGTTGCCTCGGTTGAATTGATAAAGTTCCGCAATTTCAAGGATGAGCCTCAGCACGCAGCCTGCGATACGCTGGGGAAACTACAAGCAGGTAACTTTGTGTGTGAATACATAGCTATGCCCTGTCGTGGATTTCTGGAGAAGATGCTGTTTTTTTTTAAGATTTGTCCGTGGATATGTTCCTCTGGCCCAAAATTGCACATTAACCCAATTTGTGTTATTACAAATGCCTCCTAGACTTTCCAAGGGAAGATATGTTTTTGGTCAATGTTGTTTGTTTTTTATTATTTATATTAGTTTCATTTTGGTTTTAAGGGAAACAGATTGGCCAATCAGTGATCACATGCAGAGTAGTAAGCAAGTTGTCACTTGTGACATCATTGCTTACTATGTGTGAAATTTGTAAATGATCACAGAGGTCACATGGTACAAGGCTATTCACAACAGCCTTGTACCATGTGACAAGCTGTGACCAATCACAGCTCACTCTGTAGTTCTCAATGGCTGCAAGAATGCAGCTAGAGAGAAGGAGAAATGATTGCTTTTACATCCTTTATAGGTGTAAAAGCAATCAGTGTAAAAAAAATTCTTCATCACCCCCACAAGTAGTACAGTGTCACCATGGTGACACTGTACTGCTAGGGTGACAGTATGTAAAAAAAATAAATAAATAAAAAATAATATTAAAAAAATGTTTAAAAATGATAATTTTTGATTGATAGCCCCTGCATGGGCATACGTTTTGCCTTATTGGAATTAGAGCGTTGTCTGCTCTATTATGCCTTTTTTATTGGTGCAATTGATAGCCCCTGCGTGGGTGTGTTTTGTTGCCTGTGTTTTATACTGTTTAAAATTAATAAAAACCATTGAAATGCAGAGGAACATGCAGGTGGTGTTGTGTAGTCGTGGTCACATCACAGGTGCAAATCCTCAAATGGCCAAAATGCCCCCTCACCTCCTTACAGTGACCACAAAGGGCCAGCTCGCTTTTAGGATCACACGACGATCCTCACAGGTAATACTCTTCGTAGGTCAATCACCCCACTCATTGTCATCAATGGTGGCACTTACTCCCCTCCTTAACCTCCTTGGCGGTTTTCCCGAGTGTAGCTCGGGGTAGAATTTTCTATACCAAGAGCGGTAACCCCGAGCTACACTCGGGCTTACCATGCAGCGTTCTCTGGGGGTCCCTGCAGCACTTACCTTGTCCTTCGCTCCCACGATGGGTCCCCTGCAGCGTCCCCGTCCATCTCCTCCGGCCGATGCCGGCATCTGGCTTCCGTGTTCCGGTCCCCGTGACGTTGGAACGTTCGGGCGGCGGAACCGGCGGGAAATTTGAAATTTTTAAAAAATGACATTTTTGCTGTCATTGCTTTTTCACTGCATTTCACATACATTTTGTCCCCACTGCTTTGTCCTGTGTCCTGCCTGCATTTTGAATGTTCTTTCTGCCTGGAAACTTAGAAAAGTCCATGGCGGCCAAAAAGCGTCCCTTTAGGTCAAAAGCGGTTTTAGAACAGCTAGAGAACAGCGATAGTAAATCAGAACCACTTGCAGAATTGAGTGATAATGATTTGTGGGGAAATTCGTCATCAGACACTGAAAACGATTTTGCGACTTTGCTCAGCGATGTGCAAATTTGCCTCTGTATTTCAAATTTCAGTGTTTTTGGTTTGATTATATTATTGAATTAAATTTATTATTATTATATTATTATTTTTTATGATTATTTATTAAATTATAATTTATGATTTCGTGTTTTAAGTTTTATCATATCCGGAATGTTTAATAGACTCTTTTTCGGACAGATTTCAGTGAGTTATTCCTAAAAATTACAGCCTACAATTAAAAACTACATATTTCCATGCAAAAAAATGGTACCGCTTTCAGCACAAAATTCCTGACATGATCATACCGCCAGGGAGGTTAAAGGTCTCCAGCCACTGGCATCAGCAACACCGCTTACCCTCCACACAGGATCAAGGTAATAAAACAAAGAGATCCTCCATGGTGTAATAACGTTTTAATATAGCCAAATATATGAATCAAAATGCCCACTCACATTTCAGTAGTAAAACAATCGATTTTCACCACACACTATGGGTGTACTGCATGGGTATAGGGTGCACCAAGATGGCGCCCACACCGGAAGTGACGTCACCACGTACCGGAAGTTCCTCCCCGCGTACCTACGCGTTACTTCACTCTAAATCACGTGACTTTCAGGATATCCTACACAATACCACCTGCATGTTTTTTGATATTTGGAAAACTATTTAATAGTTAAAAAAAAAATGATAATTTTTGGTTATAAACTAATTTGTTTTTTTTTTTTACTAAAAATATAATGGAATAAATTTTGGTCAAGATTTATGATGACATACTATTTATTTGCAAAATTTTATAAGAAAAACAATTTTTTTTTTTCAAAATTTTTGGACATTTTCATTTACATAGCAAAAAAAATAAAAAATCCCAGTTGTGAGTAAATACCACCAAAATAAAGCTTTATCTGTCTCAAAAAAATGCTACAAAATTCATACGGGTACAGTGTTGCATGACTGCGCAATTGTCATTCAAAGTGTGATAGCGCTGAAAGCTTCAAATTGGCCTGGACAGGAAGGGGGTGAAAGTGTCCGGACTGGAAGTGGTTAATGTCTATGGTCGGCTTCACAATGGCTGTCAGTAGCTAGCTTGTGTTAGTGAATGAGAATTCTCAGCATAGTCTCCTGGCTGAATAGCTTTTTCCCCATCATGCATGGACTTTTTATTATCTTTGCCTTGTGCCATCAATTTGTACAGGGCAAACTGTGGCATTCTTACAGCGGACACTTCTAAGGACAGATATTTATGAGGTTTTATTAATTTACATTCTGCTCTTCTAGACTGAAATAGTTATCTATCAATGTTCCGTGGCAGGTCAACTTTACCAGCGCAGTACTGGACTATAAACATTTAATTAGGACATTTCTTTCAGGACCGGCTTCATGGTCTATAAAATTTAATAGAGAAAAGTGTTTTCTTTAAATTGTTCTTTTGCTTGGATTTGATGAGATTGCTTGTACTTGTTAAAGGAGCTGTATATTTTTCCTAGAGGGATTGACTTTTAATTCAGTTATTTCAACCTTAAAGTAGAACTAAACCATATCTAAGCGCCACAAACTGAAAATGCTATGTAATTCACATTCCATATTTAAAACAAACTCACCCATCCATACATGTCTCCATGCCTTATTCTCTTTAGAAATCACTTTGAAAAACACCCCTTTATCATTTCTAGCTGTGGCCATCTTAAGTAAGGGCAGATGATTTGTGTGACATCTCCTTCCTTGAATCTATCTGCCCTTAGCTCAGGCATGTAGGCAGGAGGGTGTGCATAGCTAAGAAAGCCCCTCCTACCCTCCTGTCTTGAAGACTCCTGGGATATAGAGTACTGTGCAAAAAGTTTAGACAGGTGTGAAGAAATGCTGTAAAGTAAGAATGTTTTCAAAAATATATATTTTATTTATTTTTATCAATTAAAAAAATGTAAAGTGAGTGAACAGAAGAAAAATCCAAATCAAATCAATATTTGGTGTGACCGTCCTTTGCTTTTAAAACAGTGTCAATTCTTCTAGGCGCACTTAAACACAGTTTTTGAAGGAACTTGGCAGGTAGGTTGTTCCAAATATCTTGGAGAACTAACCATAGATTGTCTGTGGATGTAGGCTGCCTTAAATCCTTCTTCATGTATTCCCATACAGACTCGATGATGTTGAGATCAGGGCTCTGTGGGGACCAAGCCATCATGTCCAGGACTTCTTGTTCTTCTTTACACTGAAGATAGTTCCTAACATTGGCTGTATGTTGGTTGTATGTTTGGGGTTGTTGTCCTGCTACAGAATAAATTTGGGGCCAATAGCACACCTCCCTGATGGTATGGCATGATGGATAAATATCTCCCTGTATTTCTCAGCATTGAGGACACCATTGATTGGGCAATTTTGTGGACCGTAGATGAAGTAGTCAGCCAAAGAAACTTAATGCAGCAGATAAAAGACACATCATATTTACTTCCCTTCAACATCGGAAGATGTCAGCACAGAAGTGACTCAACTATGGGTGAAAACATAGGAAATGGGGCGCAGGAAAATGGCAGCAGGTGCTCTGGACTGATGAGTTAAAATGTGAAATATTTGGCTGTAGCAGGAGGCAGTTTGTTGGTGTAGGGATAGAGACAGGGGCGGACTGACAACTCACGGGGCCCCCGCACAATAGGGGATCATGGGGCCCCTGTGTCCTTTCCCAAACTCAAAAAAGCCTATGAAAAAGGTACCAGGAGCATCTCATGGGGCCCCCTACTGACCCCAGGCCCTCGGGCAGTGCCCGAGTTTCCAAATGGTCAGTCCGCCCCTGGATAGAGAGCAGTACAACAATGAGTGACTGCAGGCAACTGTGAAGCATGGTGGAGGTTCCTTGCAAGTTTGGGCCTGCATTTCTGCAAATGGAGTTGGCGATTTGGTCAGGATCAATGGCGTCCTCAATGCTGAGAGATATAGGCAGATGATCATTCATCATGCCATACCATCAGGGAGGAGTGTGATTGGCCCCAAATGTATTCTGCAGCAGGACAATGACCCCAAACATACAGCCAATGTCATTAGGAACTATCTTCAGTGTAAAGAAGAACAAGGAGTCCTGGAAGTGATGGTTTGGCCCCCACAGAGCCCTGATCTCAACATCATCGAGTCTGCCTGGGATAAAGAGACAGAAGGATTTGAGGCAACCTACATCTACAGAAGATCTGTGCTTAGTTCTCCAAGACGTCTGAAACAATCTACCTGCTGACTTCCTTCAAAAATTGTGTGCAAGTCTACCTGGAAGAATTGATGCTGTTTTAAAGGCTAAGGGTGGTCACAACAAATATTGATTTGATTTGATCTTTTGTTCATTTACCTTCCATTTTATTAATTGATAAAAACAAACTATTAACAATTCCTATTTCTGAAAGCATTCTTCATTTACGGCATTTTTTCACACATGCCTAAAAAGTTTTGCACAGTAATGTATGACATCATTTTGGCCTGGGTCAGAAACCGGGAAATAACTGAAGAAATGTAAAACAGTTTAAAACAAATAAATATAATATACCTTCCCATCTATTTACTAATGATATCAGCATAATGAGTAGAACTAAAGGCAAAACTTTTTTTTTTCAGTTTGGATATAGTAAGGGAGGGTTACAGCCCCTGTCAATTTTTGTTTTGCCATCTGTGTCCCATTGGGGAGCTTTACCTTCACTACCTGTCCTATAGCCAAACCTGGAAGTGAGAGGAGATCCTTGAAAATTAAGGCGCCCTCTATTCCTTTTATTGGGACAGCCCAGAATTTTGGGATATAATCCTCCCTTACTCTATCTAAAATGAAGAAAAAAAAGTTTTGATTATGGTTCTACTTTAAGTGTAATTTTCCTGAAAATGTGCATTTGATAAACAGCTGCACAAATACTGTGCGACATAAAAAATGGCAATAATCATACATTTATTCACCAGGGCCTCTGCTTTCAGAAATTATTAATGTTTGGGGGGGGGGGGTTCCAAGTAATTTTCCAGCAAAAAATGCTGACAAGTGATTAAAATAAAATGAAATAGGTACAATTCACAAAACATTCACAAACTTTCCCTATAACACATCCAATGTTCCCTTTTTGAGTTCAGGTTAATTTTAAGAAGGGATTAGGAAGTCAGAAATCTAATAAACTTTTTCCTTTATAACAACTCCATAACATAACTGTCCCTCCCACTGACACCAATGATGGGGCACTATTCCTCCCACTAACACCAATGATAGGGCACTATTCCTCCCACTGATACCAATGATGGGGCACTATTCCTCCCACTGATACCAATGATGGGGCACTATTCCTCTCACTGACATCAATGATGGGGAACTATTCCTCCCACTGATACCAATGATGGGGCACTATTCCTCCCACTGACAATAATGATGGGGCACTATTCCTCCCACTGACATCAATGATGGGGCACTATTCCTCCCACTGATACCAATGATGGGGCACTATTCCTCCCACTGATACCAATGATGGGGCACTATTCCTCCCACTGATACCAGTGATGGAGCACTATTCCTCCCACTGACACCAGTGATGGGGCACTATTCCTTCCACTGACACCAGTGATGGGGCACTATTCCTTCCACTGATACCAATGATGGGGCACTATTCCTCCCACTGATACCAATGATGGGGCACTATTCCTCCCACTGATACCAATGATGGGGCACTATTCCTTCCACTGATACCAATGATGGGGTACTATTCCTCCCACTACTACCAATGATGGGGCACTATTCCTCCCACTGATACCAATGATGGGGCACTATTCCTCCCACTGACACCAGTGATGGGGCACTATTCCTTCCACTGACACCAGTGATGGGGCACTATTCCTTCCACTGATACCAATGATGGATCACTATTCCTCCCACTGATACTAATGATGGGGCACTTTTTCTCCCACTGATACCAATGATGGGATGCTATTCCTCCCACTGATACCAATGATGGGGCACTATTCCTCCCACTGATACCAATGATGGGGCACTATTCCTCCCACTGATACCAATGAGGGGGCACTATTCCTCCCACTGATACCAATGATGGGGCACTTTTCCTCCCACTGACACCAATGATGGGGCACTATTCCTCCTAATGACACCAATGATGGGGCACTATTCATCCCACTGACACCAATGATGGGGCACTATTCCTCCCACTGACACCAATGATGGGGCACTATTCCTCCCACTGACACCAATGATAGGGCACTATTCCTCCCACTGATACCAATGATGGGGCACTATTCCTCCCACTGACACCAATGATGGGGCACTATTCCTCCTAATGACACCAATGATGGGGCACTATTCATCCCACTGACACCAATGATGGGGCACTATTCCTCCCACTGATACCAATGATGGGGCACTATTCCTCCCACTGACACCAATGATGGGGCACTATTCCTCCCACTGATACCAATGATGGGGCACTAATCCTCTCACTGACACCAATGATGGGGAACTATTCCTCCCACTGATACCAATGATGAGGGCACTATTCCTCCCACTGACACCAATGATGGGGCACTATTCCTTCCACTGACAATAATGATGGGGCACTATTCCTTCCACTGACAATAATGATGGGGCCCTATTCCTCCCACTGACATCAATGATGGGGCACTATTCCTCCCACTGATACCAGTGATGGGGCACTATTCCTTCCACTGACACCAGTGATGGGGTACTATTCCTCCCACTACTAACAATGATGGGGCACTATTCCTCCCACTGATACCAATGATGGGGCACTATTCCTCCCACTGACACCAGTGATGGGGCACTATGCCTTCCACTGACACCAGTGATGGGGCACTATTCCTTCCACTGATACCAATGATGGGTCACTATTCCTCCCACTGATACCAATGATGGGATGCTATTCCTCCCACTGACACCAATGATGGGGCACTATTCCTCCCACTGATACCAATGATGGGGCACTATTCCTCTCACTGACATCAATGATGGGGAACTATTCCTCCCACTGATACCAATGATGAGGCACTATTCCTCCCACTGACACCAATGATGGGGCACTATTCCTTCCACTGACAATAATGATGGGGTCCTATTCCTCCCACTGGCATCAATGATGGGGCACTATTCCTCCCACTGATACCAGTGATGGGGCACTATTCCTTCCACTGACACCAGTGATGGGGCACTATTCCTTCCACTGACACCAGTGATGGGGCACTATTCCTCCCACTGACACCAGTGATGGGGCACTATTCCTTCCACTGACATCAATGATGGGGAACTATTCCTCCCACTGATACCAATGATGAGGCACTATTCCTCCCACTGACACCAGTGATGGGGCACTATTCCTTCCACTGATACCAATGATGGGGCACTATTCCTCCCACTGATACCAATGATGGGGCACTATTCCTCCCACTGATACCAATGATGGGGCACTATTCCTTCCACTGATACCAATGATGGGGTACTATTCCTCCCACTACTAACAATGATGGGGCACTATTCCTCCCACTGATACCAATGATGGGGCACTATTCCTCCCACTGACACCAGTGATGGGGCACTATGCCTTCCACTGACACCAGTGATGGGGCACTATTCCTTCCACTGATACCAATGATGGGTCACTATTCCTCCCACTGATACCAATGATGGGATGCTATTCCTCCCACTGATACCAATGATGGGGCACTATTCCTCCCACTGATACCAATGATGGGGCACTATTCCTCCCACTGATACCAATGATGGGGCACTATTCCTCCCATTGATACCAATGAGGGGGCACTATTCCTCCCACTGACACCAGTGATGGGGCAGAGATGTAGATGGCTTTGTAAGTTGTTAGTATTTTGATTTTATTTGTTGAGTGAGTAGAAGCCAGTGGAGGGACGGCAGAGAGGGGCAGCAGACACTGAACGGTTGGTAAGGTGGATGAGCCTGGCAGCAGTATTTATGATGGACTGGAGGGGGGATTACCTATGTAAAGGTAAGCCAATGAGGAGGGAGTTGCAGTAATCGAGGCAAGAGATAACCAGGGAGCGAATTAGGAGCTTTGTGGTATCATTGGTTAAAAAGGGGCGTATTCTGGAGATGACCTGAAGATTACATAAACCCCCCAAAACATAAATTATTTTCTTTATTGCTCTCATTCTGGTGCAGACAACGATATGTACATGTGTATCGCAATCAACGTTTTCACACATAGGTGCACCAACACATGTGTTTGTACATGCGTTTATTTGGCGGGGGGGCCTCAACATTTTTTGGGGGGGAGGAATTTTATGTGCTTGGGATTTAACTTTTTTTTTTTTCATACGATTAAAAAAAAATTATTTTTACATAACTTTTTTTTTTTTTCATCACACAGGAGACAAAGTCCCCATGTGATGATTTTTTTAGTGACAGGTTCTCTTTAGTGAGATATGCAGGATCCAAAAGACTGTGCATGTTTCCTCTGTTCTTCTCTGAATGCAGTGCAGTGCAGATTGAATTGCAATACATTCTTTCCAGGCCGGGGAAACTGTCACTGGGTACCCGGAAGTAATGTTATACACGTCGCTTCCGGGTCAGGAACAAGAAGGGGAGGAGAGCGGATGTGTGTCCACTGTCCTCCCTCTCCTCCAACCGGCTGCACCCGCTATGCTGGTCCTGGGCCCGCAGATGGGCAAGCAGAGCCCAGGATACATAGCGGGGGGGAACGCATGGGGGGCACTTTATCCGCGTGTGTGGAAGCAATTGAGCAGAAGCAGAGCCGACCAGATGCTTCCACCTGACAAATGAGGCCTGCTACTTGCCCGCAGCACGGGTAGATGTAGAAAAGAACTACCTACCTGGTGCCCGGAACTACAAGTCCCAGGATTAGGACGATACAAATTGCACATCCCTGCAGAGTGGAGGCGCTCTAATACAGGAGGTGTTATACTGGCCAGATCACCAGAGGAAAACAGAAGGAAAAACCCTATAAAAAAAAGAAAACTAATGCAACCACCACATCTAATGACTGGTAAGCTGCAATATATTACATTTTTGGTTTTGGATTTCAAACCACTTAAAATTAGAGAGTTGCACAGAAGAAGCATTTTTTGGCTAAAAAAAAGTTGTAAAAGGAGTACAGGTTTAATTTAATGATGAATATTACCAAACTTACAAAAACACATTATTTTGGTTTTAGGAATGGACCGAGAGACAGTGAAGAGAAACATCTGTCTTTTGTTTGAAAATGCAGTCAGGAAGCGTTTAATGGCGCACAGAAGAATCGGATGCCTTTTATCAGGTACCTTCATTTTTAGATGGAGCTAAAACATTTTCCTCTATTTTTAGGCTGCTTTGTTTCCCTGGGAAATATCACTTATGCATCTTAGACATTTATCTTGTGAAGTTGGAATTATCAGCAGAGATTGGTTACATAGTTAGTCTGGCTGAAAAAAGACAAAAGTCCATCCAGTTCAACCATTTAAAAAAAAAAAAATTATAATCCTATACTCACAGTTGATCCAGAGGAAGGCAAAAAACCCAGCAAAGCATGATCCAATTTTTTTCTCCTGCAGGGGAAACAATTCCTCCCTGATTCCCCGAGAGGCAATCAGATATTCCCTGGATCAACTTTACAAATTGTTAGTATCCAGTTATATTCTGTGTATCTAAGAAACAATCCAGGACTTTTTTGAAGCAATCCACTGAGCTGGCCAGAACCAACTCTTGAGGGAGTCTATTCCACATTTTCACTGCTCTTACTGTGAAGAAACCTTTCCGTGTTTGGAGATTAAATGTCTTTTCTTCCAGGCGTAAAGTGTGCCCCCTTGTCATTTATAATATTCGTATAATGTTTCAGATTTTGTATAAAACAATTTTCATATTCTTTTAAGCATTTGTGTTCTAGTCTGGACTGAATTGATTCTTACTGGATAAACCCACATGGAAAAAAATATATTTTCAAAATATTCTTCTCAAATATATTGACATATATTTGAAATACTACAATTTTGACCTTATATAGTATATTTAAAATTTATATATATATATATATATATATATATATAGTATGTTGCAATGCATTTTTTATATATTACAAAACATATGAAAAATGTATTTTTTTAAAATATAGTCTTCATATTTTTTTTAGCATATAGAAAAGTAATTTTAACATATGTTTTTACATATATTTGTAAATGCATTCTAAAGATGTAGATTAAATGTATTTTAAAAGACATACAGTATATTTGAAAATGTATTTTTAAAAATGTTTCATTTCATAATATATATATACATACTGTATGTTGAAATGCTTTTTTTTATATATTATGAAATGAAACATATTTTTAAAAATACATTTTCAAATATACTGTATCTCTTTTAAAATACATTTAATCTACATCTTTAGAATACATTTACAAATATATGTAAAAACATATGTTAAAATTACTTTTTTATGTTTAAAAAAATCTGAAGAATATATTTAAAAAAAATACATTTTTCCAAATATTTTTCATGTTTTGTAATATATAAAAAATGCATTGCAACATAATATATATATATATATATATATATATATATATATATATATATATATATATATATATATAAATATATATATATATATGTGTGTGTGTGTGTAAAAAAATTTTAACTATACTGAATACGGTCAAAATTGTAGTATTTCAAATATATCTCAATATTTTGGGAAGAATACTTTTTAAATATATTTTTCTTCCATGTGGGAAACAGGACAGTTTTGCACATGTAAAATGAAAGCAGCAGAAATTCCAACATTTTTAAAACATTGGCCCATCCAAGACCGATATTTCAATTATAGATGGCTATCGGTGGAATAAATGATCATTTGGCATCTTGTAGTTCTTGGCCATTCCAGTGATTTCCAGGCCCAGGGTTTTCCGTGACAATCGTATAGTAGACTAATATCCCTTGTGGAACATAAAATTGGAGCTCAGTTGAGGGGGTGGAGTTGGGAACACCCATCGGCATCGCCTTATTCAGTCATTTGTCTGTGTCTTTCCCAGGCGGACTGGACTCCAGTTTGGTTGGTTGCAGCCCACTCTGCTCAAACTAATGAAGGAACGCAATTTGCCGTATCCTCTGCAAACCTTTGCTATCGGCATGGAGGAAAGTCCTGACATAAAGGCTGCCAGGAAGGTAAAGTGGTATTCCTGTACTACAATTTCACATGAAAAGCCCAAATTTTAAATTTGTGCAACTATTTCCCATCCAGCAACCCCAGATCTTTCCCTAAAGATTACCTGTCATGTGCCTATTGCTATCAAAGGATGTTTACATTCCTTCTGACAGCAATAAAAGTGATCAAAATTAAAAAAAAAAATTAAAGTAACAATGCCCCTGAGCCCCCCTCCTCTTGTGCTCACGTGCAAAGGCGAATGCATGTGCTGGTCCTGCACGCGTGCAACGTTTGTGCCACACATGTGAGATATCACCACGAACGTCAGATCATGGGCAGTAATTCTAGCACCAGACCTCCTCTGTAAATTTAAAGTATTACCCTGTAAAGGCTTTTAAAAAGTCACCTATGGATAATAAAATTTACGACCTTTGTCACTGTTGCACAGGCGTGCGCAGTTTTACAGCATGACATGTTTGGTATCCATTTACTTGGCATAACATCATCTTTTATATTTTCAAAATAAATTAGGTTGTGTATTGTTTTTTTGCATTATAATTCAAAAAAGTGTATTTTTAACTAAAAATTGCATCTGAAAAACAGCTGCGCAAATACCATGTGACATAAAAAGTTGCAAAACCCACCAATTTATTCTGTAAGGCCCCTGCTTTAAAAAAATATATAATGTTTGGGGGTTCTAAGTACTTTTCTAGCAAAAAAAATACTGATTGTTACATGTGAACAAAAAGTAGCAGAAAAGGCCAGAACTGGAGGTGGTTAAATAGACCCTGTCACCACTTCACAACTTTTTATTTTGGATATTTTTTTAATGTCTCTAGACCAGTGGTCTTCAAACTGCAGACTGTGGGCTGGATGTGGCCGTTCGCTTGCCTTTATCAGGCCCTTAGGGCAGTATTCTTCCCAATAATGCAAGGCAGTATTCTTCAGACTGATGTCAACAATAGAGCACTTTTCCTCCCTCTGACACCATAGGTGGGGCACTATTCCTCCCTCTAACACCATAGGTGGGGCACTATTCTTGCGACTGATACCAATGATGGTGATTATTCTTCCCACTAATACCAATGATGGGGCACTATTTCTTCCACTGATAACAATGATGGGGCACTATTCCTCCCACTGATACCAATGATGGGGCACTATTCCTCCCACTGACACCAATGTTGGGGCACTATTCCTCCCATTGATAACAATGATGGGGCACTATTCCTCCCACTAATACCAATGATGGGGCACTATTCCTTCCACTGATAACAATGATGGGGCACTATTCCTCCCACTGATACCAATGATGGGGCACTATTTCTTCCACTGATAACAATGATGGGGCACTATTCCTTCCACTGATAACAATGTTGGGGCACTAGTCCTCCCACTCACAGCAATGATGGGGCACTATTCCTCCCACTGATACCAATGATGGGGCACTATTCCTCCCACTGATACCAATGATGGGGCACTATTCCTCTCACTGATACCAATGATGGGGCACTATTCCTCCCACTGATACCAATGATGGGGCACTATTCCTTCCACTGATACCAATGATGGGGCACTATTCCTCCCACTGATACCAATGATGGGGCACTATTCCTCCCACTAATATCAATGATGGGGCACTATTCCTCCCACTGACACCAATGATGGGGCACTATTCCTCCCACTGATACCAATTATAGGACACTATTCCTTCCACTGATACCAATAATGGTGATTATTCTTCCCACTAATACCAATTATAGGACACTATTCTTTCCACTGATACCAATAATGGTGATTATTCTTCCCACTAATACCAATGATAGGGCACTATTCCTTCCATGGTACCAATTATAGGACACTATTCCTTCCACTGAGACCAATTATAGGACACTATTTCTCCCACTGATACCAATGATGGGGCACTATTCCTCCCACTGATACCAATGATGGGGCACTATTCCTCCCACTGATACCAATGATGGTGCACTATTCCTCCCACTGATGCCAATGATAGGGTACTATTCCTCCCACTGACGCCAATGATTGGGCACTATTCCTCCCACTGATACCAATGATGGGGCACTATTCCTCCCACTGATACCAGTGATGGGGCACTATTCCTCCCATTGATACCAATGATGGTGCATTATACCACTCACTGATACCAATGATGGGGCATTATTCCCCCCCCCCCCCCCACTGATACCAATAATGGGGACTATTCCCCCCTCACAAATACCAATGATGGGGCACTAATCCTCCCACTGATACCAATGATGGGGCCCTATTCCTTTAACTGATACCAGTAATGGGGAACTATTCCTCTCACTGACACCAATGATGTGGCATTATTATTATTCTTCCTACTGCCCACAGGCATGTAATTATTTTACCCTCCACTGACCACCAAATCTGAGGCATGTTCTACTGACCACAGTCTGGCCCTCCTAAAGTCTGAAGGACAGTACACTGGCCCTTTGCTTAGAAAGTTTTCAGACCCCTGATCTAGACTAATAGATATTTGTGTGCTTCTTATCTTGTAAATTTGCAGCTCCCTTTTTAGTATACAGTTCCAGCTGTCTGCAAGAGGAGAGACTCAGGAGCTGAATCAGTGTTTGGTAGTGGCTGCAGCTCTTTATAGTGTGCAGAGGATAACAGAAACCACTGCCTGGTAGCATGAATGAAAGTGTCTTATCCCTGTGGCCCTGACCGTTTATGGGAAAGTCACACCAAAGCTGTCATTTTCAAATACTGTATAGTTGCTGCAGATTGAGCTTTGATTGATTTTTCCAGCCAACATTTAGCTTTCAGGTAAAAGTGATCTGGGTGCTTGTAAAGTTGCCCAATCACTTTTACACTACATAGAAGCACCTTTCCACCTTTCTGGTGCAACCCATGGAGTTTTCTGGGCTCTCCTGTCCCAGTGGGGAGCCTGGAACTGTGGTAAGAGGCTTCAGGATGCCAAATGGGAGGAGATTAGGGAACATCCGTTCCCTAATCTCCTCTGCAATAAATGACACCAAAATTGACAAGGGTTTTGTCTCTTCCAGGTTCAAAGATGTTATTCCTCATCTAAGGGAAGCAGCTACTCAACCATGATCTATACTTGATAAGTTGCAGTGGAGGACAGGAAAGACATTGGGGTCTAATAGGTTCCCAGTCTCTCCATAAAGAGTACCTGTCACTTGCCCAGTCCTATCACATAGGGGGCTTGTTAGCCCCCTTGTGATAGCAAAAAAATAAAAAAAAAAAGTAAAAACAAAATAAAATTTAAAGGCACCCCCTGTGGCCCCGCACACACCCAAGAATGCAAAGGCACAGGGAGGGTACCCATTTGTATGTAAACCGTGACTGTGCCACACTTATGAGGTATCCGTCAGATTGAGAGGAAATATTGTAGGGCTGTAATTCATTGTTAACTCCAAACTGAGAACCTGTAAAGGCTTTTAAAGGCTTTTGAGTACCGTCATTTTTTTGCCATTTCACAGGTGTGTGCAATTTTAGGGTTTGACATGTTGGGTATCTGTTTATTTTCTGCAACCTCATCTTTTATATTTTTTTCCCCCAAAATTAGGTATTGTATTGTGTTTGTGTGCACTAAAACTCATCCCCGAAAGTATGTTTACTAAATATTTGCAGAAAATATAGTGCAGCATTGAAAACTGCAACTGTCGCTATTTTATTCTCCAGGGCCTCTGCTTTCCGAAAATATACAATTGTTTCGGGGGTTAAAAGTAATTTTCTAGCAAATAATGCAAATGTTAATATGTGTGTGAAAAATGAAAACATTCCCCCAGCAGACAAGTGGTTTAAAGAATATTTTATCCTACGTGTTGGACAGAGTTGGAAATGGTTAAAGCTGAACTCCAGAGAAAATTCAAAGTTATTTTTTAAAATCCTTGTTTTTTTTTCTGTCGTCCCAATAAAAAGCAGTTTTACTTAACCTATCCAAGCGGGCGGTCTTCTCTCTCATCTGATGCTCCGGGTTTTGGGCGGGCCCTCAGTATTATAATTCGTCCAAATGTTCTTAAAAATAAAAGTTTTGGTTCTAGGTACACTTTAACCTCCCTGGTCTGATTATTTCAGATTTTTGGTGCTGAAAGCGGTACCATTATTTTGCATGGAAATATGTAGTTTTTTTATTGTAGGCTGTAATTTTTAGGAATAACTCACTGAAATCTGTCCGAACAAGAGTCTAGTAAACATCCCGGGTATGATAAAATTTGAAACACGAAATCATAAATTATAATTTAATAAATAATCATAAAAAATAATAATATAATAATAATACATTTATTCAATAATATAAATGTGTGAGTTTAGCGAGCACACCAATAAAAAGCTGCTGATGCACAAAAAGGAACCACAAAGCCTTTCTAAGAATATGACATAAAAATAGGGTGTGCAGCGCTATATAAATAAACACACACTGTCTAAAGTATGACGAAATATGACAGAAATGGAAAAATCCCATAAACTGGATGTTCAAGGTAATATAATATCAGTCCAAAAAGGTATATTCCAGTGATGGAGTATAAACGACTTCAATCCAAATGGGTATATTCCAGCATCCTAACATGAAGGTGTAGAAAAATTGCCCACTCACCGGAAGTGCAATTTAATGTGCACATAGAAATTCCATGAAGCCGGAGGTCCCATGAAGGTATAGCCTGATGAGAAAGGTGCCCTCTGGTGGTGGATAGGGTGACGGCTGCCAGAGAAGTTGATCTGGACCAATTTCCCAAATTGTCCTGCCTGGGTGGACTCCTAGAATGCTGGGCTGAGATGTGGAGGCTCAGTGCCAGGTAGTAGAGATGAGAATGCTCATAGTGTAGTATTATAAAAAGTATTTATTGAGTAAATATCATTAAGATAAAACAGTAAACGTACAGGGTTGGAGTACCTATACAGGTATAGTGTAAATGAGCTTTAAATACACTTACCAGTGAATATAAATGATGGCCACCGGACCTCCTGATCCGGTGGCTTAACGTCAAGGCGTGCAGAGGCTCCTCCT